TAGGGCATGTAGTGTGACACACTACATTTACATCACAACATGTATTGTACACACACAGATACAAATTAGTCGCCAAAATGCAGGGCACCATCAGTTCTGGATACGGATTGAGCATTTTTTCAATATAGATCCCTGAGGTCATCTGCGAACATAATGCTGTCACCTATCGGAATTTTTTTCAAACTAATTTACCGGAGAATATCATCTAGAATACAACATTTCTAATTATTTCTAAATTATTACCTACATATATACCTACATAAAAAAGTAGTACTTGTTCGTCTTCAGATGTAAAAATGTTAAAACTAGACTATTTATTATAATAAATAATTGAACCTTTGCATAATTAAGAATCAAGAAAGGTATAAAGTTGATAATATTAAAATATAATGCAGATCGTCTAATGAATAATTATGACATATATAATTACAGTAATTTATATTATAATAAATACCTATTGTTGAATTAAGGATTATTAATTCGATTGCAATTACCTTTATTAACACTAATTGATATTCAAATGTAAATATATATAGTGATAAAGGAAGTAAAAAAGTATCAATACAATTATGATGGCTAGTCCAGTCAAATGAGGGAAATGGAATAATTTTGATTTGCTGCGGCCGAAGTGATGATTTATAGATAACTAGATCGGAATTTCGCGAGGAACACGATGGTGTCGGTCAAAAATGTTTGGCACGTATACGGGGGGAGTAAAAACCGCCCCCCATCGCAAATTTCTCGATTCCTATTGTGATGTCATAATTTATTAAAAGGACATCTTAAAGATCACTCCTTTTTAGCCTACACCTAGTGCAATAGCTGGGATGGAGTAAGAGGTTGTTGCATTAGGATTTAATAATAATAATTAAATATTCTTTTAGTTTTAATAAGTTAATAAATGGGATAGAATTAATAGGGATATTTATTTAATTAACAAATTAATTTAAAAGCCAATTAATAATTTATTAAATTAATAATCAAATTATAATTTTGAATTCATATAAATAATAATTTCATAAACGAGATTGCACTTTCTTTTAAATTTTAAATAAAAATAAATATTAAGACTTACTTTTGATATTTAAATCCAAATTATAATTTTAAATCCAATTTGTATTCTTTTAATTAAATAATGATCACAATTAATTATTCAAATAACTTTTATTATAAACAATTAACACGTCTTAATATTTTGATTGATAAAACTAAAGTGTCACTTAAAGGACATTTTCGGTTGTTGCTAGCAGGTAGCAACATCCCTTCTTTTTCATTTTTAATTGAATAATTAATTTTGATTGGTTACAATTAAATCAATAATAATTTCTTTTTATTTTCTTTTAGTTTGTAATTAAATATTTTTGCGAACAATGCTTCTGACAACGATTTATATTTCTTGCATATTAAATTACATCTGAAGCATTGTTAAACGCAATAAAAATTAATAAGAAATTTTTTTTTTAATTTTTAATAATTATTTATATCTTTTAAATCTATTTCTTTAATATATATTTTTAAATTTAAAACATATGGGCGCGTAGTGCCACATGACGTGACACTATCATAGATATGAAAAAATGTTTCAAATAAAAATTGTTCAAAATTCAATTTTAATGAAAAAAGTACTGAACATTTTTTTTCAGATCTATGATAGATAAAAAGTTATTCGTGACTGAAGCTTCACTATCGACGAAAGCTCCAGTCACGTCTAAGAAAATTAATAAAAATACTTAACGCTACAAATATCACTTTGTGGCGATTTATTTCGAAAATTTAAAAAAAAAAGAATGGGGAAAAGATAAATTATTTGAAAGAGAAAAAATTTATATCTCTTACACAATTATATCAATCAATCTTCAAATGTACAAACATGTTCCGGTCATTTTTTTTTTCTAAATTCAAATGGATGACTTCTGGTCATCCCGAACGTGCGAAAATTGGCATACATGTTCTCAAATATGTCAAGAATATGTATGCACATTTTTAGATCTATCGAGGTAATTGTGTAAGAGATATAAATTTTTTCTCTCCCACATAATTATTTTTTTGCGTTAAAAAATCGGAAAAGAGTACTTAAAAAAGTATAGCTAGATCGACAGGAAATTTAATTCTCTATCGATCTATATACATGATTATTGGACCTAAAATTAAAAAAAAAATTCCTAACATTTAAGGCGCGTAAAACTTAGAAAAATTCTCGCGCTGATAAATTTCGAGCTCGGAAAGACTTTTGAATGAACCAGCATCAGCCCAAAACATCCCCTTTTTACTCACCGTATAGTCTCTTTGTCACACTTACGGTTGGAATGAGTATTTCACTCGCACTTACGTTTTACAATACTCGGCGCGTGCGCAGAAGTTTTGTGTGAGTGCGAGTGAAGCAGAGAGATATGTATTGCTCTCTGTCGCACCTAACGGAGGCAGAAGAGGAAAAGTGCTCTCGGGGGCCCAAATATTTATACCTGTATAACTTTTAACAGGTGCAGAATAATGAAAAACTTTGCAGATATGAAATGTTCCATTGTTAATTCTGCACATTTTAAGCCCAAAATCGGGCTGATCGGTGCATTTGAACCAAAATGGGAATGATTTAAATAATTCATTGTTTATAAAAATAATGAAAAAATTAATAAAAAAAAAATTTTTTTCTCTAAAAATGAAATTTAATATCTCATTTTTCGAAATCAATCGCCAAAAAGTAATATTTCTAACATTGGGTATTTTTTATTAATTTTCTTAGACGCGACTGAAGCTTTTGTCAATAGTGAAGCTTCAGTCGCGAATAACTTTTTATCTATCATAGATATGAAAAAAAGTGTTCAGTACTTTTCTTATTAAAATTAAATTCTGAACAACTTTTATTTAAAACATTTTTTCATATCTATCATAGAAATCGAGAAATTTGCGATGGGGGCGGTTTTTACTCCCCCCGTATACGTGCCAAACATTTTTGACCGACACCATCGTGTTCCTCGCGAAATTCCGATCTAGTTATCTATAAATCATCACTTCGGCCGCAGCAAATCAAAATTATTCCATTTCCCTCATTTGACTGGACTAGCCATCATAATTGTATTGATACTTTTTTACTTCCTTTATCACTATATATATTTACATTTGAATATCAATTAGTGTTAATAAAGGTAATTGCAATCGAATTAATAATCCTTAATTCAACAATAGGTATTTATTATAATATAAATTACTGTAATTATATATGTCATAATTATTCATTAGACGATCTGCATTATATTTTAATATTATCAACTTTATACCTTTCTTGATTCTTAATTATGCAAAGGTTCAATTATTTATTATAATAACATCGATATTTTTTTGTTTCACTAAATTTATATGAAAAACGATAATTAACTAAACAATTTAAATGATTCATAAAAATGAATTTGAACTTATTTTGTAGGAATATTGTGACACATAAACGTAATGGTTGGTACAAATACTGATCTAAAGCAGCTTAAAAGATTGGAGACTGGGGAAACCATGGAATGAACAAAAAAGTTTGAATGAAAAAAACAGCTTAGCCCACGTCTCATAGAAACGTTACAATTATTTTAAAAATTATTTATAAGCAAAGAGAGGGTTGATAATATCATTAATTGAAATTGATTGATTATAAAATCTCTCTATATTACTACTTTCCCTTTCATCAAAGTAACTCGATTCGGAAAACTTAAAAAATCGTGATATAATAACACTCAAATGCTGCAATAAATTATTTGTAAGAAATAAATATTAATTAAAAATTTGATCGACTTATATCTAACTAACTAACTACCCTTTTAATTGAAAAAAAAAAAATTTTTTTTAAATATTCTTTTCTTCAGCATATATAAAGTTGTTGAAGATACGCAAAAAAGTATTTATATACAGAAACAAATATTTTTTAATATCAATTGATTAATATATCAATGAACTATGACGAAAGCTGTTAATAATGAAAAGTGATACAAAAACTTACCTTTTGTTTTTAGGAAAGCGATAAAACGAGAGATGCCGCATCCTCGATGACACATTTTCGCATTTGACAAATGCACATATATTTGTAGCTGGCATTTTTGTGTACACAATGCACGATCACTTATACACTGTATGCACTCTCGAAAAAAATCAAACAAATTTATATACTAATATATGAATTAAAGCAATGAATTCAATCGATTATTTTGAGTTGTAACTTTCCAAGAATTTCGGAAAATCTGAGAATTCAAGTTGGCTCTTTCTGCCGCAAAGCATTTTTTCTATGCGTGCGCATCTTCGGAGGGGAGTAGGCGTAACTGTGCCAAGAACACTGTCGCCACCTGGTTTAAGAGTACAGAAGCTTACATGTACAGTATCGCCGTCTGGCGGATGGGGTGGTAACCTTGCGGTTTGGGGTGATCCCCAAATGGAACATGGCATTGTGATTCTATTTACGTCTCTCTTCTCTGATATTACCTATTCCAAAACACGTATTTCTGCCATATTTTCATATGTGTAGTAGAGAATTGGAATAAAAAGCTTTGTTCCTCAGTGATAACTTCTACCTGGTGCTTTTATTTCAAATGTAAACGTATTTTTTTATAATAATAAACGTTCGAAAATTCTGTTTCTGTTTTATTGAAGTCCTTTATCCTAATCCTCTTCCAGAATGTTGGAACTAGCCTAATATGTGTTGAAAAATTAGCAAGTGGAGATACTTCTGATCAAAACTATATCCCAATTTTTATCTATTTTTCGGAATTTTAGAAAATACTAAAAAATGAAAAACAATCTTATCCGATTGAAAGTTAGGTATATCGATATTTGTATGGACCAATTTGTTAATATCCTATATTAATTCTTTGATAAATATTGATTGAGAACATCTGTTGCTAATGGTTAAACATGGTACTAATATTGTGTAACATTTGAGTACCAAAAAGAAATATGTATGTGTACATAAATAATTCAATTTTACTTTTATAAAAATAAATATAAAAAACTCTAAACACCTGATAATATCTATTATAAAGAAATAATTTTTATTCAAATTCACGTATCATTTAAACATCTTTGAGATGATGCAAGTAACATCATACGATGACTTAATTTTACATTATGATCTCGAAGATACCTTATTAAATCAGCTTGTTTCTCTAGTAATTCTAAAAAATTGGAGCCTTTTTCATGATATCCAACTTCAGCACTACTGGCATACGAATCATGGGCAAAATTTGCAAGCCATTCTTCTTTTATCACATCTGGCAATGGTCGCAGACGATTGAATTGGCGAACACGTTCTATATGTATAAAAAGAAATTTTTATTAAGAAATGTCACAAATGTTGAAAAATATTGTAATGAATATTATGAAAATGCATTTATCTTAACTTATATAATTCGATATAAGTTTAAAAGATAAATTTTTTGTTGGCTGGATAGCTGCGCGAAAAGCTTCCTTTTTATTCAAGCAAGTAGAATTGTTGTGTATCATTGTGACAAAGAGGATAAAAATTTTGAAAATATGTTCTTTTATAATAAATTGTATTCAATTTAATTACGATAAGTTCGAATTTTTTCACTCAACAGCAATACTTGAAATGTGAACGATTAGTTTTTATTTTTACTCAAACTATAGAAGAAAATTGATACAACAGGAATGTTTTATGTACTTATAAATATCCATGTTTTTTACATGATAATAAATAAATTAAAAGATTTAAGGCATGAAAATCATTTTCATAATATGTGCTGATGTCCAGTAAAAAATACTTACTTATGTAATTCAAATAAACAGGAATAATGATTACTAGTTCCAAAGTAGTGAGTAAAAGCATATAGTTGATTGGTGCAAACCATTTTGATGAACGACAATAATTCTCAAAATTAGATTTATGAGTATGATTCAAGATTGTGGCCAGTAAGAGATATGTCGTATTCCAAAGCGAAGAAATAAATAGTGGCGTTCTGATATGTTGATAAGTAGATTGATAAAAATCTAAGTATCCACATATGCGTAAGTTATGATGCTTCGATTTAATTATATGATCCACGATCATAATAACAAACCAATATCCACCGTGCAAATATAAAATAATGAAGTAGGATTCACACTTGTCATATTCTTTTGACCATAGAGAAACAAAAATAATTCCGACGATCTCAATAATAACCTGTAATATTCATGCTATTTTTTATTCCCTTCGATGAAATTGAACTTTCCTATAAATTCGACTCACCCCTATAACTAATGGTACCGATGCAATTATAACAGTGTCAAGCTTTTGAAAATGTTCAACTTCTCGGGAAATAAGCGTTGAGTGCAGACACTCATGATTTTCCATGTTATTGAAAATCTTTATAATAATGGAGATAAACGGTTAAATCAGCTTCTACTGTTACCTGTAAATATCTATTCCAAACAAACACAGACAAGAGATGAATATGAAAAATTCAAGCTTTTTCAATAATACTCATACAACTGTTCAATAATTTCCCGACAAAACAATCAATAAATAACAATAATCAGAATGAGAAGTGTTGTTAGGTTAACTTGAGCTGGTTATTTAGAGCGAGTTTCACAATAAGACCGTTCACACCATGGAGTCTAGCAAAAGGAGATACATAACTTTCACATATACCAGAAATCACCCGCGCGCTATCTTGTGTCAAAATTTGTATTATGTAATATATTAAGGCTGGGCTGAAGTCACGGAGGTGACTGATTCTCCCTATCTAAATACATTGGATCGTAGGTTTCTAATTTCTCCGAGAATTTAGGTTTTTACTTAAAAATTTTAGTCCTAAATTAACGCTTGTTTAATGATGCAGTGCGCTAGATAGCAATTTCGATTATCCAACTGATTTTTTTGATTACAAAATTAAAAAGAAAATTGAACGATGATGAATTAATTTGCCGCACTTCAATTCCAAGATGGCCGCTACAAGGTTATGGAGAGAAATCGTGAATTATTTATTTTCTATATATATGGTTGAACCAAGAAAAGAGGACTCTCGATTGGGTGTCTGATGTCACGTCCCCATAAGATTTTATCAGGAGGCGGGAGATTAGACACCAAATCAAGACTATTCTTTTCTTGGTTCGACTATATCTAATTTCAGCTCCTAAATGTTGTCTAGCGCACTTCTTGCTACATTTCTAAGCATAAAAAAAATTATTTAAGGTGATAAAATTGGATAATTACAAAGAAATTAGAAACCTACGATTTGGGATGATTATCATTAGAAATTAGTTCAAATAAGTCCAACTGATCGCAGAACCATGATCACAGTCAGAGAAAAGAAATAATATAGAAGAACCACCGCATGGGGATCTGTTGGACGAATTCTTGAGGATACATATGGCATTTTAGCATTAGTTGTGTATCCCCAGCCATATAACAGCAGGTAAAAATTACCGTCCAACAGCTCTCAGTGGGATGGTTCTTCTATATATTACCACTTTTCTCTATCACAGTGACCCCAGTCATCCATATTGAAAAAATGCTCAATCCGTATCCAGAACTGATGGTGCCCTACATTTTGGTGAGTAATTTGTGTACAGTACCGGACACAAATGCTGTTTAATTTTTTGAAGGTTGTATGTTGTGTACGGGTAATATATGTATGTCATGTAAACATAGTGTATCACTTCACAATGCCTTATACTTTGATGACTATTGCAGTTAGAATAAATAAAAATGATGATACTCATTTAACATTAATTAATATTATACCTGAAGATAACTTCAAATACATATATTCATCCATTATTATCATTTTTATTAGGTATAAATGTTAATAAGGAAGCTCATTTCCAAGTCGGCATATTCAAGCATGTAGTGTAAAAACAAATACACAATAAACTCAATATCGAGATTATGCTGGCCGGGTGCCATAGACCCTCCCGAATGCAATAAATGTCTACAGTCTAATTGTACACAAAAATAATATTCCCTAGTTCTCTGTCATTCAATACATTTCATTTTGCATCAATGTCAAAATTTACCCTGGTATATAATCATCAGTGCACTCTACATTCTGCTGTTGGTAAAAGAATTCTCTACATGATCAATCGATATTTCAACAAATATTAAGGCTGGGCTGAAGTCAGAAAGGCGACTGATTCCCCCTATCCAAATACATGGGATCGGGAAATTTCTAATTTCTTCGCCAATTTACAATTATTTCTATAAAATTAGGTACCAAATTACAGAGGAATTGATGCCGGACTGACGTAAACAACAATTTTTTGTATATAGTGAATATTTTTATTAAAAAAAAATTAGAAAGAATAATGAAAAAATTATGAATTGACTTGCCGCGCTTAAATTTCAAGATGGCGGCCACATCATTCAGATGAAAAATCACTAATTATTTCATTTTTATACGTTTTTCGCCCAAAATTCGTGTTTGCGTCAGTCCTTGCCACCTGTCTGAATGTTAAAAAAATCAATTCATAGTATAAAATTGAATAATTTAGAAATAATTAGAAATCTTGTATTCCAGATGATATTCTCCGGAAAATTAGTTTGAAAAAATTCTGATAGGTGACAGCATTATGCTCGCAGATGACCTCAGTCATCCATATTGAAAAAATGCTCAATCCGTATCCAGAACTGATGGTGCCCTGCATTTTGGCGAGTAAATTCTGTATGTGTGTGTACGGGTAATATATGTATGTGATGTAAACATAGTGTATCACTTTACAATGCCCTACACTTTGATGACTATTGCAGTTAGGATAAATAAAAATGATGATACTCATTTAACATTAATTAATATAATACCTGCAAATAACTTCAAATACATATACTCATCCATTATTATCATTTTTATTAGGTATAAATGTTAATAAGGAAGCTCAATTCCAAGTCGGCGTATCCAAGCATGTAGTATAAAAAAAAATATACATTAACTCAATACCGAGATTATGCTGGCCATGTGGTTAGGGCGTCAGAGTTCTATTTTGCCGGGCAGGGTTCGATCCCAGTCACAACCAATTTTTTTTTTCTACTTTATTCGTTAGATTAGCATGTAATTATAATATTGACATGCTATAATTAATCTTTTATAACAATTTGATTTTTTTTTCTCTTTATTCATTGAATTTATTGACGCTAAGTCGAAAAATATTTGAACAGAGCCATAAACTTTCTTTTTGTATAAATACATTGATAATAGCCTGTGTTTAACAACTTATACATCTTTACATGTATTAACAATGTTATGTTATTAACAAGTTAATCATATTATTATCAACATTGAAAAGTAGTTTAAACAATCCGTGGCGAGTTCCGGCACTTCGCTGGCAAGCTCTACTCCCACTCTCTATGCCCAAGCCTGCAGCTTATAATTTTTAAGCATATATAAATGTTATGTAATCATATAATAGCTCGGTTGTTAGCGCATCGGTGTTTCATTTTGATGGGCAGGGTTCGATTCCAGTCATGGTAAAGTTTTTTTTTTCTTTTTCATTTGTTAGATTTGCATGTAATTATAATATTAACATGCTAAAATGAATTCTTACCAACGATTTGATTTTTTTTTCTCAATTATTTATGTAATTTATCGACGCCCAGTCGGAAAACATGAACAGGGTTATAAACACTTTTCTTACTATAGCTATATGAACGTAGCTTTTTTTTAAGCAATTTAGAAATATTTAGAAGTAGTTGAAATAATCCACGGGGATATCCGGCACTTCGCCGGCAAAATCTATCCCTACCCTTCGTACTCAAGCCTGCATTATACAATTTAGAAACATAAACATAATGTCAGAGATGATGTGTTAGCTCTGTGAGTAGAACACCAAGCTTTCATTTTACCGATTAGGGTTCGATCCCACTTTTTTTTTTTCATTAAAATTTTATATAAATACAATAATTGGTTGTTTGTATAAGTTCAAAATCAATTCCTAGTGTCTTTTAAAGACAACATTTTCTAAAAAAGAGAATTCATAGTAACTCGTTCCTCACCCTCAGCTTATTTTCAGAAAAACAAGTTTTTTTTCGTAATTAATTGAAAGAATAATGTAATAAAATATATGAATTGATTTATAAGTATATAAAGTCACTTGAACAAGAAACAGAAAAAAAAATTGCCTATGACTGGGATCGAACCCTGCCCAGCAAAATAAAAGGTCGAGGTTCTAAACACTGAGCTATTATAATTCCAATTCCACAAACGATGCTTGAAAATTATAAGCTACAGGCTTGGGCACAGAAAGTGGGGGTCGAGCTTGCCGGCGAAGTATCGGAACTCGCCGCGGATTGTTTAAACAATTTTTTATTGTTAATAAGTTGTTAAAAAAGGCTATTATCAATGTATTTGTACAAAAAAAGGTTAATGGCCCTGTTCAAATATTTTCTCATTTGTCATTGATTAATTGAAAAAAAAATTTTACATAAAAATTGAAATTTAAAACTCATTTTTGGCATGATAAAATTGCAATTACATGCAATTTGAATAAAAAAAAAATTTTGCCGCAATTGGAATCGAACACCGTTCGGTAAAATAACTGGCGAACCTTCTGACTATAGAGCTAGCATATTTTCATTTGCTTTGTTTACGTTTAGATATCGTAAGCTTCAGGCTTAGTAACAGAGGGTGGGGAATGTGCTTGCTCGTCAACTGTTCGAACTCGCAGTCTTCTCTGAAAAATAAGACGGAGATAGATAGACATATTTTGTGCTCTGTCTTGCTCGGAACAGATTATTCTGAAATTTGTAAATTTCTTGGTACCCTAAGGCTCCCTTTTTGTAGTGCATCCCTGAAAATTATCATTTTTCGAACGATTTCTCTGTTACCTACTCAATTTCAATTGATATCAAGCTTCGGCTTTTCGCCGCACAACGTGAGGGCGTAAAGTCAACTCCGGGAAACTTTCTGACTTCAGCCCAGCCTTAAGCTCGATATCAATTGAAATTGAGTAGGTAACAGAGAAATCGTTCGAAAAATGATAATTTTCAGGGATGCACTACAAAAAGGGAGCCTTAGGGTACCAAGAAATTTACAAATTTCAGAATAATCTGTTCCGAGCAAGACAGAGCAGAGAATATATCTATCTATCTCCGTCTTATTTTTCAGAGAAGACTGCGAGTTCGAACAGTTGACGAGCAAGCACATCCCCCACCCTCTGTTACCAAGCCTGAAGCTTATGATATCTAAACGTAAACAAAGCAAATGAAAATATGTTGGCTCTGTAGTCAGAAGATTCGACATTTATTTTACCGAACGGTGTTCGATTCCAATTGCGGCAAAATTTTTTTTTATTCAAATTGCATGTAATTGCAATTTTGTCATGCCAAAAATGAGTTTTAAATTTCAATTTTTATGTAAAATTATTTTTCAATTAATCGTTGACAAATGAGAAAATATTTGAACAGAGCCATAAACTCTTTTTGTACAAATACATTGATAATAGCCTTTTTTAACAACTTATTAACAATAAAAAGTAGTTTAAACAATCCGTGGCGAGTTCCGGCACTTCGCTGGCAAGCTCTACTCCCACTCTCTATGCCCAAGCCTGCAGCTTATAATTTTTAAGCATATATGAACGTACTGAAACCATAACAGCTCAGTGGTTACAGCATCGGTCTTTTATTTTGCTGGGC